AGCACAAAGTCTGGTCAGAATTTTATGAGGGAGGGAGGGAGAGGATGAAAGGAGCAGAGGATGAATGGAGAGATGGCAGCACAGGGCAGAAGTCTGGAGGGCAGCAGGGAGGAGGGACACACACATGCCCCACACACAGCACTGCACACACCACGCACACAGTGCACACACAACACACGCACACACTAGAGTGCAACGGTGGAAGGGAGGTCAATGGAACCGTGGAGAAAGGGAGGCAGGGAGGGCGCTGAGAAAGACAGACCCACACAGAGGGCCTGACACAGATGCACACACAAGCGTGTGTACTCGCACAGCTGCACAGGCCCAGGGCAGGGCTGGCTCAGGGTAAATCTTCAATACGAGCTTTACATATGACTGCATGAAAGAATGAATAGGCCAGCAGCCCAGAGTGACAGCCAAGAAACGTGGGCCAGAGGATGGAGAGACAGAGACAGAGAGACACACTCAGAGAGACGAGGAGACACAGGCCGATGGGCAGAGAACAGGTGACAGGCCAGGATGGACACACATGTCCCATCCTCTCTAGGTGGGAGGGATAGAATAGGGGCACAAATTACGGGGGTTTTTTCTGTTTTTTTTTTTTTTTTGAGGTTTTCTGTATCTTTCTAACTCTGCTATAAGGAATATATTTATGTATGTGTGTATATATATAAAATAAGAAAACATCTTATTTTTCTCAGAAAGCAAAAACCCAAGCAGAATAAGAGAAAACCCACTGAACCAAGGAAGGGAAGGTGGAGGGCACACGGGGGTCCTAGGGTCTCCAGTCCCTGAGGAGGGCTGGACACTGGACAGGGCTGCAGAAGGAGCAGGCAGAGGGACCAGGAGACAGTGGTCCCAGCAGACTGGACGTCTCCCCCTCTCCACTCTGCCTCTCTCGTGAAGAGTCGAGCAAAAGCAAACTGAACAGAGGCCCAGAATGAGGGAGTCAAAACTGGAGAAGAAGCCAGAGACAAGAGGGCGGAGCGACAGAGAGAGCTTTCCCGCCTCCCCTCCCTGACCAGACATCGCCCATGTGGGCCAGATCTGGGTGCACCAGTGAGAATTTCCCCAGCTCCTCAGCTCTTGTTCTAGTGGGCGAGCTAAGTGAACCACCATGACAACCCTTGCATGTTCCAGGGGGGTCAGGGAAAGCTCCCAGAGGCGGTCTGTGGCCTCTGAGATGTGTTTTGAAGGATGAATAGGAGTTTGCCAGATTGCAGAGAAGGAAGAAAGGGCATTCCCAGCAGTGGAAACAGCTTGGGCAAAAGCATGGAGGTATGAGAGGGTCTGGGGAAGAGACAAGCATGGAGAGATTGATGCGCAAGAAATCTGAGAGACAGAGACACCAGAGAGACTAGAGAAATAAAGAGAGACGGCAGCGAAGAACAGAGAAAAAGAGAAACTAGCAACAGTGAGAAAGAGAGTCACAGAGAAACAGAGACAGAAAATGAGACGCACATAGAGACACACAGAGAAGGACCAAGAAGTGGAAGGAAGCAGGGTTAGGGAAGGGAACAGAAAGAAACAAAAAAGTGTCCAGACAGAGCCAGGGCCAGACAGGGAACAGAGAGAGCTGGAGAAACAGACAGACGAGAGAGAAAGGCACAGTTAGATAAAGAAAGAGAGACCAAGACGGAGAGAGACACACGCGGAGAGACACACGGGGAGAGAGGCCAAGAGGTGCAGAGAAAGGGTCCCGGACCCTCCCCAGGACCAGTCTCGGAACAGCCCCCATTAGAGCACCCCCCCCACACCCGCGCCCAGCGCCGCGCAGGCGCACTCCGGACCCACCGCGGCAGCGCGGGCCAGCGGTTTGTCTCCGCCGGGGCTGGGGCGGGACCCCGGCCAGCTCGCTAGTGTCCCTGCGCCCTGGGCACCCGTGGGCCCTGCCGGGAGTGGCCAGCACCATGTGTGCGCTCCGCGCTCACACACGGGTCCACACGGACACACACGCTGGCCCAGGCACGCTCACAGAACGCAGCTGCACATAGTGTCCGCAGGTTCAGGCAGGAACTACCTGGATTTGTGTCCACGAAATACACACAAATCCGTGCACACACAGCCGGAAAAAAACAGACCCACTCACTCGCTTCATAACCCACTAAGACCCAGGTAAGACACCCCTGGAGCCCACAGGCTAGTAGATCACCTGGACACGTCTGTATACAGACACAGCGGGGCAAAGACATGCCTGACCTCTCAACTCACACCCGCGTGAACACACAGGTTCACACATCTGGGCACACAGCCCCAGGAGCCTAGAGTCACGGACCACCTGGACACGTGTCCACACACCAACACAGACACCCGTGAGCAAACAGGCCCCCACACACCCACGTGACCACAAAGGCACACACATCCTAGGCACACACTCCCACAAGCAAACAGAAAACATGCCACAAACTCACATCCACGTGCCTACCAATGCTCCCAAGACGCGTGCACACCCACAGGATCTCCAGGTGTCCACTCTGACCGGGACACTATGGCATTTGCCTTGTGAAAATAATACTGAACAGAGAAATGTCCTGATTTTGAAATTCGTTTTTAATTAAACAGTGCTATTACCGCCAGAGGTGACCGGCGGTGTACCAGCGTAGGTGTGCGATCTGATGTAAGATAAATTTCTTCATCTAGACTGCTGCAAATGAACTTCCCAGGTTGTGTCCCTTGGTCGTGGGGAAGAAGAGAGGAGAGGAAGGGTCTTTGGATTTTTCTCCAGAATGCCCAGGACTTTGGTTGATTCAGCCCAGCACTCCCGGGCAACACAAAGACAGCAGGCACACAGCCTCATCTCCCCATGAGCACAGCCACAGGTCCACACAGGCCTGCCAGCCCCACCCGGCCCCCACAGTGTCAGCTGCCACCGTCCACCCCCAGCATCTGAGTCCTGAGCTGCTCACACTCGCGGAGACCCGGTGCATCTCAGACACAAGCAAGGCCTCTGCCCGCGTGCTCACTCCCTGAACGCAGGTGCAGATGTGCACACACAGCCACATTCCAAAGTGGCCGTCTCCAGTCTGATGATGTCACCCCCGGCCTGAAGCCCTCCAGCCACCAGTGCTGCCCGCACAAAGGCCCCTCTGACTGCAGTCTGTCCTCACACCCCACCCCCTCTTGCTGTCCAGCACACAACAGATGCTCAATAAACCACTGGCCAAACTCGGAGGTCTGTTTGTGTTTAATCAGACAATATGCAAAGTATTTACAACCAATTCTGGATCCCCCCTCCCCCCCAAGCCTGGGCCGTGGAATACGGGACCCCCAGGCCCTGCCCAGAGCCGGGGGTCCCCTAGGCCTCTGCATAGTCATCTGAAATCTACAAAACACTGTTTTAAAAAAAAGGACAATATTAGGACACCTTATACAAAGGGCCTGGGGCAGTCGGAAGGGGACTTGAGAGCACGCTGGGGCAAGCGAGCCCAGATTTGACTGGGAAGGACAGCAGACTTGGGTAATAAACACGTATGAAAGGAAGAGCTGAAATTTCATAGGCGGGTGCCGCGTGGCCTCCTTCCCCGCCGGCAGGGCCTGGCTGGCTCAAGAAGCCCCAGCAGCGGGACTGTTATTGCTATGATGGGGGACTGTGGGTGAAACGTACAACGTGTCTGGGCAACAGAGCAGGGGGCATCTTTACATATTAAATATGGACACACATGGAGGAATACACACGTGCACACACACATACACACACAGGGGCCCTCGGCAAGATGCCCACAGACTGTCAGCTGCTCCTTTAAGATGGGCACACCGGGGCCCAGGGAGAAGCTACCACACACCCGAAGGCTGAACAGTAGCGCTAGGGCCAAAACACAGTCTCCTGCCGCCCGGGGCTGGGCTCACCACGCGACGCCAGGCCACAGGGTCTGCACAGGAGCGGAGCAGTTGCAGAGGCCATGGCCTCACATGGAGGCAGACACTGCAGCCCAGAGAGGAAGCAGGGGCCGCCCGAGGACACAGAGCCAGTCCTGGTGCACGACACTGGACACCCTCGTCCTCTCTCACCCTGGCCTAGGCACTCCTTTCCCTACTCATGATTTCAAGAGTGCCAACTTGGGGAGGGAGCAGGGGCCAGCCACCGAAATGACACAAGACAAACTGGGGGAAGGAGGACCTGGGTTCTCTCCTGGGGCCACAGCCAGGGCCTCCCAACCACTTGGATCTTCTACTTTTGCTTGGTTGCCTCCAGAGCCGGGGAGCTCACTTCCTTTCATGGCTGGCTAGCTCCAAATGTCAAAAACCACCACATTCTGATTGCAGCCTGCCTCTCTACACCGGCACCTTCACCCTCATTCCTAGCTCAGCCCCACACCCACCTCCTCTCTCTCCCCTGATGACAGCCCCGCTGAACGGGCAGCGGCAGCAGGTCTCTCTGCCGTCTCTAATCCATGCTCAGTCCCTTTGTTCCCTGGGCTGCCTAGTCTGTCCATGATGCCTCCGAGGACAATCTTGTTGGTTCCTGAGGAAGACAGAGGGAGCACCGGGTTCCGATCCCATCTCAACCCTGAGCTGCTCTGTGCCCTGGGGTAAGTCACAGCCCCTTGCTGAACTCAGTTCCCCCGTAGGTAATATGGGGACAAGGATTGATGATCTCTAAGGGTCCCTCATGTCCAAGAAGGGCAGGGTTTGAGAGGGTGCCCACCCCACCCACCATCATCAAGTTAAGCTAGGCTCGGGCTGCCCAGCCTGGGAGCCACAGCAGAGGGCTCTGAAACACCCCAACAGGTGTCTCAGAAATGGACGGCAAGGGGCAGGATGGCAGGCAGGCCGGGGCCCATCACTCCTCTTTGGAAAGGCTCTTTGGCCAGCTCTCAAGACAGACCTGGGTGGGGTGGCAGCGGGAAGGAGCCAATGCGTGGAGTAGGCTGAGGCTGGAAAAAGGGCGCCTGGGCCCCGCCCTTCTCCCCAGTTCCCCCTGCCGAGACGCGCAGAGCCCCAGGATTGGACACAGGTGGCTGGAGCAGGAGCCGGACGCAGTCACCATGCCAGCCTGGGACGCCGCCCTCGGGACTGCCCCAGGCCCTTCCATGCCACAAAAGAGGGAGGGGCCTCGTCCCTGGCAATTCAGCCCCACAGAAAGGGTCAACGGTGGGCGGGCAGAGGGAGGCAAGCCCCCGTCAGGGGCCACCCAGCCCAGGATCCCAGCCCAGAAGCAGTCTGGCCGGGTAGCCTGCCCCCTATAGGTTCTCTCCAGGCTGGTACTGGGGCTCGGTGGACGTGAAGTAGTCCTCCAGAAAGGCCTGCAGGTACTCGAAGGTGGGCCGCTCCTCTGGCTCCTTCCGCCAGCACTGGCACATGAGGTCGTGCAGGGACTCGGGACACTCGGGCGGGCAGGGCATCCGGTAGCCCCGCTCCACTTGGTCCAGCACCTCGCGGTTCACCATCCCTGTGGGCAGAGGGAGCATGAGGAAGGTGGCTCCGGTGAGGACACGGGGTGCGGGGAAGTTGCCGGGGACAACAAAGGGCTTCCCACCTAGGACCAGGTGGGTATGACCACGGCTAAGTCCCCTCCCCACGGCTGGGAGTCCTGACCAGAGAGACAGCCTAAGATCAGATGCTCAACCTCTTTGTTATACAGATGGGGAAACTGAGGCCTGGGAGGGGGTGTGGCTTGCCCGAGGTCACCAGGGCAGAGGGGCTCAGGGACCAAAGATGGGCCACAGGGAGCCCTCTTACCAGGGTAGGGCACCCGTCCCTTTGTTGTGAGCTCTGTCAGCAGGATCCCAAAAGACCACACGTCCGACTTGATGGTGAACCGGCCGTAGAGGGCGGCCTCTGGAGCCGTCCACTTGATGGGGAATTTGGCACCTGCAGGAGCGAGAAAGTTCAGGCGAGGCTCGGCAGAACGTCACGACCGCTCTGCCAGACAGGCACCTTTCGCTTCCCCACTGGACAGACGAGGAAACTGAGGCTCCGAGAAGGGGCGTGAGCTCCCAAGGCCACAGAGCACCCGCCCGGCCCTGCCCACCTTGCCGGGCTGTGTATTCGTTGTCTTCAATGAGCCGGGCCAGCCCAAAGTCGGCCACTTTGCACACGAGATTCTCTCCCACCAGGATGTTGGCGGCGCGCAGGTCCCGATGGACGTAGTTCATTCGCTCCACGTACGCCATGCCCGAGGCGATCTGCAGGCGGGAGCCCGGGAGCCCGGCTCAGGGCCACCGCGCGCCCTCCCCAGGTCACGGGGCGCGCGCCCGGGGAAGGAGTCATCCCCAGGGGTGGAGACCCAGCCAAACGCCCTGCCCTCCCCGCTTCTCCAGGCAAGCGAGGGCAGTTTGCCGTAAACGCGGCCAGCATAGAAAGCAGGACCAGCGCTCGGCAGCAGGAGGGGCGCAGGGCAAAGGGAGGCGCAACACAAGCTGCAGCCAGGGAATGGTGCGACCACGAAACAGAGGCCCCAGACGCCCCACAGACACAGAGTGTGCCACGTCCTGTCTGCCATCCTGAGTCCCCTCTCTGAGCCCCAGGTGTCTAGCCCCTCAAGTGGGAATAATAACCATCCCTACCGCCCCTGATTGTGATCAGGATTAAATGAAAAAATGGTTGTTCAGCACCGCCTACAGCAAGCAAACACTAATACATGTTTGCTGAATGGCTGAATGACCTTCACAGAGAAGAAAACTGAGGCCTGAGGTCCCACAGTAAGTTAGTGACTCCTGATGCCCAGGTAAGGGCTCTTTTCTCCGCCTGGAACTACCACCCACAGCACCTGTAGGTCATCCCAGCAATACATGTGGCGAGACCAGCAAGTACAGGGCAATCAAGGCAAGCTTCCTGGAGGGGGCGCTCAAGCCAAAACTGGCTGAGCCAGGTGGGTCTGGGTGCTCGAGGGCCAAGGGTGTGGGAGGCAGGAGGGGCTGACTCACCTGAGCAGCCATGTCCACCAGCTGAGGCAGCCGCAGGTACTTGCCTGTCTCCCCCTTGAGAAAGTCCAGCAAACTCCCTGGGCAGAGAGAAAGCAGCTCTAGCCCCCGCCCTGTCCTCCCCGAGCCAGGAAGCAGTGATTCCCAGGTCCTGTCCACCTGGGCTGGCCGTGCTTTAACTGGCAGAGCAGATGTGTAAACCCATCTCTGAATAAAGTCTCACTCAGCATTTGTCATGCAAAAGGCAAGCAGGATGGGAAACAACCAGATGTCCACCTCCAGGCGGAACTGAAACTGTGGTCCAGCCACATAGTGGAATACTACTCAGCACTGAAAAAGGAACCAACTACCAATACACGCTACACCAAGGGGAACCTCGGAGGTAAAAGACCACACAGACAAAGTTCTAGAATAACCAAATCTGTGGAAGCACATCAGCAGTTGCTGGGGTTGGGGACTGGAGGGTACTGTCTGCAAAGTGGAACAAGGAGCTTTCTGGGGTGATGGAGATCTTCTATATCTTGACTTCGTTAAGGGATACACAGAGTATCCATTTGTTAAAACTCACTGAACTGGACACTTAAAACGGGTGTATTTTGTCGCAGGTAAGTTATACCTCCCAAAAAGTGGAATTTAGAAAATTAACTAATTAACTTAAAAATTAAGTAAAGGTCAAGCCAGGGACTCGACGTAGATGTGGTTCGGCTCGGAGGGTCAGGGGAGTTCTCCTTCCAGCCCCAAAATGGCAAACGGCCCAGCAAACTGGGGGCGACAAGATGCCTGGCGGGAAATCGTTAAAAACAAAATGAAACGAGAAAGGCACCCTTTGGTGCGACTTTCCACGGACAGGAGAAGTCGGTTCTACGCTCTTCCATTTCAAAGACGTACATTCCAGATGTGGGGGAGGGAAGCAGCCTGCCCACCCGGCCGCGAGCACCCTGGCCGGGAGGCGGCCGCGCGGGGGCTGTGCGTCCGCCTCCGCGGCACCCGCCGGGCCTCACCCTTGCTCATGTACTCGGTGACGATGTAGATGGGCTCCTCAGACACCACCGCGTACAGCTGCACCAGCTTCTCGTGTCGCAGCTTCTTCATGACCTGGGCCTCCTGCAGGAAGGCCTCTGGGGACATCGTGCCCGGCTTCAGGGTTTTGATGGCCACTCTGGTGGTGCCGTTCCAGGTCCCTGTGTGGGGAGGGGCGCAGGCTGCCTCAGTGGAGAACCCCCCGTGCCCGTCCCACAGGGACCCAGGATCTGTCTGCCTGGGCCCCAGTTGCAGCTCTGGCCTCCCTAGCCATGTGACAAGCCCAGCCACGGGCCAGGCCCTTCCTGAGCCTCAGTGTCCCCATCCATAGAAGGGGCGCAGTGACAGGCCGCTCCTCACAGCGCTGTTACAAGGATTAAATGAGTCTGGTACAGGCTTCAGCAACAGCAGCTGTTGTTAGGACTATGATTATTAGGAATGTCCCAAAAAGCAGTACATTCTCCTGAGAGATGGGAAACCATGGTTCTAACTCAGCTGCTCTCTCCTGGGCAATCATGTTCCTTCTGGGCAGCGTGTCAAAGGTGCCTCAGGTGTCAGCAAATGAATGGGGCCTGGATGAGGCAGACAAGGCCACAGGAACAGGAGGCTGTCTCGAGCCACACTCCCCAAAAAGTAAGGCATCACACTAAGCAGGAGGGCTTGGAGGTCAGACTGCCTGTGTGTGACTCCCACCTCTGCCTCCTGGGGCAGACAGACCATGGGTGGGCCAGTTCCCCACTCTGAGCCTCAGTTTTCTCGTCTGGGAAATGGGGATGCTATAGCGTCTACCTGTGGGGCTGCTGCGGATTAAATGAGATTTCAGCCACTGGGCCAAGTCTGCTGTGAGGGCTCAGTAAATAAAGCTGCCGCTGTCATTTTATTATTATCTGGTTTTTAAACTGTGAGGCCTTGCGGGGAGCCATGTTCTAGATAAACACCAGTGTGTTTATCCGAGTCCCTGTCCCAGCTGGGCCTGAAGCTCCTTTGCAGAGTGGCCTTGGGGCCCTTCCGCCCAGTCTCCGGGCCTCCATCTGAGGGCTGGTGCTCAGGCCCTCCCAGCAAAGGCCATCCAGGGAGCCGTACCTGGCACCTCGGGTGTCTACGTGGGGCCCCCAGGAGGAATTGAGAACCTCCCCACGGGCATGACCGCACGGCCAAGCCAGGAGTGAGTTCTGCGGCCACCAGGACGGCTGATGCAGGGACTTATCCAGGTTCTGCTCAAGTCCTCATTGTGTGTCTGTGCCTCGGAGCTGGCTTCCCACCCTCTCCCTCTCCCCAGCTCAAAGCCAGCACCTCCCTCTGCTGACCCGGCCTGACCCCCAGCCTCCAGGCCTCCGTCCCTGCAGTGCCTTCCACCCAGGAGCCCTCTCTGCTCTCCTCCATCGTGTCTTCCTCTGAAGGGAGGAGAGTGGAGACAGAGGGGCCAAGTGAAGACTGTGGCTCAGATGAAACAGCCTTGAAAACAGCACCCCGTGATGCCCCCGCCGAAGCCACAGGCTTACAACCGTCCGCCCACCTCAGCCCCCCTCCCTGACCCTCTGTGTCGGCAGACACCAGGCAGCAGGCAGGGCCTGGCTTTGTCAGGGCTGCACGGTGTTTTCAAGGATGGTTTGCCATTTCTCCAGGGTGAGACAGGAGGTGGTTAACAGGCCCAGACCTTGCCAGACCCTGTGCTGCCTGCACTCCGTCTGTGAGCTGAGCCTTCTCTTCCACGGCTAGGAGCTAACGTGCAGGCACACTGGGCCAGCGTTCTCTCTCAAGCCCACGAGGGGGCCTATCATCACCAGCCCCATTTGACAGTTGGGAAGATCGAGGCTCAGAGTGAAGCCACCTGGCCGAGACCTCACGGCACGTCACTGGGGAGTCATGACGCCCAGCCCCAAGATGCTCTTGGTAAACAGGTGCCACGGTCTGCAGAGCATGGGGGGCCCACCTCAGCCTGGTGCCAGCCACCACCAGGGGAGCTCCATGTTGAAAACAGGGCCCACTGCTCAGCAGGGCCAACTGAGACTCAGGGAGGCGAAGGGGAGGGGAACGACGGGGCCTTGAGCTGCCACATGGGAGGAACATCAGCCTGGTTCTCGGGTGGGGTCACCAAAGTCCCCCCAAAGGGACCGTGGTCCCCTCTGAGGGGGCAGGGGCAAGGCCTTACCCATCCACACCTCTCCGAAGCAGCCCTGGCCCAGCTTGACCTCCAGCCGCAGAGACTCCCGGGGGATCTCCCAGGCATCCTTGGCCAGGCCCTGAGTCTGTGGCTTGGACGTGGGGCACACGGTGGTGAGGCGGTGGCACAGGCCATCGGCGTGTTCTGAAGACAGGCAGGGAGACAGAGTTCAAGCACAGAGGGCACCCTGGGGCCTCCCCGTCCCACAGCGCGTGCATGTGTGTGCGCACCTGTGTGTAGACACACACATTGTATGCACACAGGCTTCGGGGACACACAGGATGCCCTCGAGGCCAGGTGTCCCCACCTGTGTGCACACCCTCACCCCAACACAGGCCCACACTGCATCTGCTCACGGAGTCATTCATTCATTCATTCATTCATTCATCAGACTTTAAGGGGTGGCCACCTAGGCAGGTACCAGGGACCCAGTGGAGGACAAGTCCAGTGGAACCCTGCCCTTGGGGTGCTCACAGTCCAGAGGGGAGCCCCACTTCCCTTAATCAGCTCCCAGGACCACAAGTGTGATGGAGGAGAGCTGTGCATGCAATAGCAGCAGGTGGGATGGATGGAGTCCTGGAGGGCTTCCCAGAGGAAGTGGTACCCAGGCTTGGAGTTGCATGAGGGTAAGTGCTTGACTAGGGAACAGCCCTCCAGGCAGGGGCACACGGCCTCAGGCAGGGGCACATGGCCTAATGCATGTGCAAAGGCCCTGAGAGAGGAACAAGCTACGGGGTTGGAGGAACTGAAAGGAGGCTGGCGGGTGGCTGCAGGGGAATGAATGGGGGAAGGGAGGCCCAGGTAAGGCAGGGAGAGGCCAGCGGGTTTAGACCACCCAAGGCCTCGGAGGCCGCGTGAGTGTCTTTATCCTATGATTCCAAGGTAATCCTGGAGAGTTTTGATCTGGGGGAGCAGGGTTCAGAATGAACCCTACAGTGGTGGCCAAGGGGACGGAGGGGGTGCCAGACCCTAGAGGAGGCCCCGCTGACAGAGGAGGAGGAGGCGCGGGGGGGCAGGAGCTGGCGCTCTCAGGACAGGCAGAGGCCATGGCCACATGCCACAGACACCCACAGAGACCTGCCCGCACAGGTCCACAGAGGCCCGTGACACTTCAGTCCACCGGGCAGCCCTGGACCTCCGGATGGCCAGCCACACTATTGCACACACGCCCCGCGCCCCAACCTGCGTGTGAGCACCGCCAGCCCTCGCTCCCTCCGCCTGCTGCGCTCCCTCCCTCTGCTCTTTGCTGCAATCCATCTAGCCACCCCCTCCTCTTCTCCCAGTAACCAGTTCAGACTGGCCCTAGGGCTGCGGAGACAAACCAGCCTATGCCCCCTCTCCTCCCTGCTCACTCCTCCAGGCAGCCCCCTCCTTGCCAGCCAGCTGCAGAGGAGCAGAGAGGAGGGAGGGGCAGGAGGGGGAGGGAAGAGGGGAAGAGGGAGGAAGGAAGAGGGAAAGGGGGGAGGGCGGGGTGGGGAGCAGGAGCCACACATCCTCGGGATAACAGAAGCCCCCTCCCCAGGGTCTGCAGCTGAGGCTGAGCCCCCACACACCCCCTCAGAGGGCCCAGCCCCAGGCCCACGGCAGCCTGCTCCCCGACCCCGGCTGCCCGGCCGGCCCCTGGTGGCTGGAGGCCTGCGGCGGCACTCACTGGAGTAGTAGGCCACCAGCTGCTGCAGACTGTTGAACTGGGTGCGGGAGGTGATGTAGAAGCCACCGCTGTCCAGCTTGCGGATCTTGTAGTGCTTCACATTGAGGCCCTTGGCGTTGTCGAAGTCGGACACGGAGAGGCAGTAGGCGCCTGCGGGGCAGGCAGAGAGAAGCCTGACCACCACACCCGTCACCCCACGGCCACGGCACGAAGCGCAGTCCTGGGCCCGCCCGACACAGCAGGGAAGGGAGGCCAGGCCGCGGCCCTGGCCTGGGGCACAGCCAGGTCTGGCCCACCGTGTCTCTCAGCACCCAGCTCTGGGCCGGCCACCAGGGCAGGGCCAAGCAAGCAAAGGGGCACCTGGCCAGAGAGCCTCGTCATGGACCCTTGGCCCTGGCAAAACCACCGAAGCCTGAGTGTGTATCCCAACTGTGTGACCTAGACAAGTCGCTCGCTCTCTCTGGGCCTCAGTTTCCTCCTCTGCACAATGGGGCTACTCCCGGGGATGCTGGGAAGATTCAATGAGACCACATGTGAGGGCTTGGCACACAGCAGGTGCTCAATAAATGTTCGCTGGGAGCCTGGGAGTGGCCTCGAGTGGCTGTGTATTCCTGGCCTAACTGCTTCCCCCTCTGGGCCTGCCCACGGAAGCACTATCCACGGCTCACCCCTTCCTGAAGACTCCAGGCTCAGGCAGGAGCGGGCGGCTGGCTGAAGCCGCAGCAGTCATGGGCAGGACACCATGTGCTGGGCACGGCCTAAAGGCCGCCAAAGCCATGCTGGGGCCAGCCCTGGTGGCCCCTCCCTGCTTCCCTTGAACCTAGAAAAGCTTTTGCTGGAAAAGCTTCCTCCTGCCCAGCAGGCCTGGCTAGTAGCCTCCGTTAACCTGAGCCCAAGAGACACCTGGGGTGGTGTCACGGAACAAGGCTGAGCCCCAGAGGCGGGGGCAGAGGCTCCAGCAGCCAGAGACAACCCTTCTCAGGAGGCAGTGTACAGGCATTGTGCTAGAAACCCAACCCCCACGGCCCACAGACCCTCTGGACAGTGCTCAGATGGGGGATTACAAGCTCCCGTGTAAAGAAGGAGAAAATGAGGCCAAGAGAGGGAAAGTAGCTAGCCTCAGGTCACCCAGCAAGTCCGGCACAGAGCTGGACTTGAACCCATAGCTGGGTCTCCAAAGCCTGCACTGGGCAACCATGACTTACTACAGATGGCTCAGGTCGTGTGCATGTAGAAGCCACAGGCCTGAGCCCAGAGCCCACCCGACCACGTGTGCACCCACTCAGGCACGCCCATGCCCAGTGGCCCCGTGCTCATAGAGGCCCCCAGGCACCAAGACAAATCGGCAGTAATTCACTCCCACACAGCAACACACAGACAATCCCACTCCCAGGTGCACACACGTGCATGGACCCACACGTGGGGTGCCCGGCCACGCGGCCGCTCAGAAATGCACATGCATGACAAGACATTCTGCTTTCCCATCTCCCACGGAGCCCCAGGCCCACAGGAAGTGCCCCAGCTTCGTTGCCATGGTGATGGGGCACCTGCAACCACTTGCAGAGGGGCTGGAGAGAAAGGGAGTGGTCTGTATTCTCTGGCTAGGGGGAGGGACAGGAAAGGAACAGGGGCCAGGACTGTTGGGGGAAGGTCCCAGCACCCAGTCCCGCCCCGAGGCCCCTGGAGAGGGGCAAGAAGAGGGCCCAGGGCATGAGCACCCTCCCTGGGAGCAAGCCTTTTGCTGTGTGACCCTCAGACCTCCTGACGACCTGTGCCCACTCCTCATCTGAGGAACCTGAGGCCAGAGGGGCTCAGCGTCATCTTTTGCTGTACCTCTGGCCACCCCAGATAACTCAGTGTTCCTCCAATGTACCTCCTTGCCTTTGAGGCTGTTGTGTTCTCCACCTGGAGGGCTCTTCCCACCCCACTCCATATACCAAACTCCTATTCATTCTACAACGCCCAACTCATACAACCCACAAAAGACCCAGTTCCCACTGCCCAGCAGGAGAGTTCGTACCTTTCGTGGTCTCGCTTTCTCGCACTAGGAAGGTTCCTCTGGGGTTCTCCACATTGAGCAGTAACCGCTCTGATTCTCGTCTGGTGATCTTGCCAAAGTACCACCTAGGGCACAAGGGAGGAGGGCGGTGTTGGCGATCCAGGCTTCCACCCGCCCACAGCACCTCTCCCTGGGATGTGGCTGGCCCTGGGCAGTAAGACCACCCGCTCCAGCCCAGGAGAGAAGCTCTGAACCAGCAGGGGTGGGGAGCTGGCAGGAGGCCAGAGTCAGTACTCACTCCTCAGCCTGGATGGAGTCGGAGGGCGCCACATAGTTGCTGGGGATGTAGCCCGTCTGTCCCGTGCTGAGCGAGTGGGCGAGCCACCAGTCTCCCTCTCTGAGCAGGGGGAGGAGAAGGGAGCAAAGGAGAAGGGAGCCATCAGCGGTGGGCCCAGTGCCTGCGATCTTCACAGGTGCTGTGCTGGGGGCCCTCGAGGCCAAGGGAGGCGCAGGGAGCGGTGGGCCCAGCTTGAGTTCCCGCAGCCTGCCAGACAGAGCTTCCTCTCCCCAGCCCAGATGCCTCTTGTCCAAAGCCGACTCAGACGGGCTTTGTCCAGGACTGAGCTGGGTCAGCCTGAGGCCCAAATTCACAGGGGCAGAGTCCTGGGGCGGGAAGTGACCTGCTTCCCTTCAGATGGACAAAGCCATCTCAAGATGCCAGCAGCTGCCTTGAGAGTGAGGGAGGAAGCTCCCTGTCTCTGGGAGCAAGCAAGTTGTACCAGGAGAGAAGATTCCTGCCTGAGATGGACGTCAAATCAGACCTTCGAAGCCTCCCCAAGCCCTGCGATTTGGAAGCCCAATCCTGGGAACTGGTGAGACCGGGCACAGGCAGGGGGTGGCCCTTTTGGAGCTTGGTGACAATCCAGGCACCGACCCTGCAATCCCGAGTAGTGCCTGCCTTTGTCACAAACCACAGGTCACCCCTAAAGGGCTCCTTGGCTGAAAATACAGGCCTCCTCCTGCAGCCTGCCCATCTACAGGGGAAACTGAGGCCAGAGGGGGCTGGGACTTGCCCAGAGTCACACAGAGAGTCGTGTCAGAGGGGGCTGAGGTGGGGGAGCCCCGATGCCCAGGGCACTTCTACACTAACTACCCCGGGAGGAGGAGGAGGAGGAAGGGGAGGCAGAGGAGATGGGACAGGAGCGGGAGGAGCCCCCCGCACAGTCGGGGCCCCTGGGCCTGGGTGGGCATGGGGAGGGGACAAAGTACCTTTGCAGCCATCTGAATGTGAACCAGGTCTGGCTGGAGCGGGGGTCCAGAGACACAGAGGAGAGAGGAGAAAGCGAGAGCCCAATGGGAAAGAAGAGGCAGAGATGGGGGTGGTGAGAGAGAGGCGGAAAGAGCAGGGGAGGGGCAGGAGAGCCAGGCGGTGCTGGGACGGGGACAAGGCAGGGCAGCCACAGAGGCCTCACATCCAAAGCAACCAAGGGGGACAGGGAGAGGTCCATGGGAGTGAGGGAGGCCAATGGGAAGGACTGCCTGGGAAATCGGGTCCAGCCCCGCCCACTCCCACCGTGCAGACGGGAAGACTGAGGCTCTGCTCAAGGTCACACAGCCAGGCCCAGGCTCCTGACCCCCAGATGAGGAGGACCCTCCCTCCCTACAGGGGAGCTTGTTGAGCTTCTCAATTCAAGGCTCCTTTCGGCCCTCACCACGACCCCAGAAGACACACAGGAAGCAGGACATGCCCCGTCGTCGCCAGGGCCCAGAGAGAGAAAGGCCCTTGCCCATGGTCACACAGTCTGCACAGGAACCCAGATCCCCGGCTCCTGGTTCTTCTGAGCTGCCCCTCATCCATAGTCTTCAGCCCATTTTGAAGATGAAGAAGTTGAGGCCAAGAAAGAGTGGGGCCAGGAGAGCTCTCCAAGGACCCACCAGAGCGCAGGTGAGCACCCAGACCCACGGGCTCAGCCAGGTGGACCCGGTCCCTTCTGGATGGAGTAAGGCAAAGGGAGCGTGCCTGGGGCCGTGTGGGCTGACTCGGCTGTGCGGTCGCCACGTGTATGCTCAGACAGGGGCACCAGCTCACAGGGGGTCTCTGCGGGAGAGGGGGCCCCCAGTCAGGGGGCAAGGCCCAGCTCAAGGAGAGAAGTCCTTAGTCGCCCAGGACCTCCATCTACCTCCCGGCTGTGCATCCACCTGGGGGTGTCCACACTTATCTGTCCCATCCGACCCTCAAGGCCACCCTGTGAAGAAGGAAAGCAGGCCTCAGCCCCCAGATGAACAAACTGTGGCTCAGAGATGTCTAGGGACCAGCCCGAGGACACAGAGTACCCAGGCTGGAGTAACCCAGCACTTTCTCTGTACAGTGGGGGAAACTGAGGCACAGAGAGAGGCAGAGACTTGCCCAAAGCTACAAAGCAATGACTCAAGTCACAGGGAACAGCTGAAATCTCCCAGTCCAATTCATTTCACCACTGAGGAAAATAAGGCACAGAGAAAGGCAGTGATTTGCCCAAAGCCACAGAGCAAATCAATGGCAGAGCAAGGGTGAGAACCAGGGCCCCTGAGTGCCCGCAGCCAGAGGCAGCAGGCTGCCTGGACCCCTGCAGCCTCCCCAGGCCGCTCGGAGGCCCTCGGGGAAGCCAGGGGCAGACGGAGGGGGCGGCAACAGGAGTGGGCGGGGACTGGGCTGAGGTCTAGGTCGGAGGCTACACGAGGCAGAATGACAAAGCCAGAGTGTGCAAGCTGGCCGGCCTCTGGGACGCCCCAGCCACCCACTCCAAGTGGGAGGCCGCAGGAGCATGCGCCCAGAGGCCAGCCACGCAGGGCCCCAGAGGCAAGGGGCGGTCAGCTCTGCTGATGTCACCCAGACTCCAGCCAGCAGAGCCTCCGGCTCCGACAGCAGCCCAATGTGAGGCCGGTCCGGGGGTTCTATTTCACCAGGGCGGAGGGAGGCGCACCGCAATCTCCCAGAAGGAGCCCCAGCTCGAGAGACCCCTGAGAGCTCGAGCGCCAGAGCCAGACCGCCCTGGGCGCTGTCCCAGCTCACCACTCGAGGTGCGTGACCCAGGCACTGCCTCCATTTCCTCATCCGTAGGATGGGGACACTCACGCCTCCCTCAGAGGATGTAAAACACCAGCACAGGGCCTGGTGCACAGTAGGTGCTCACGGCGCATGAGCGGTTAGTATCTTGATTTGGCTAAAAAAAGAAAAACAATTAGATCTGTATCTTTAGGGTGCCCCTCCCCACTCTCCAAAATGATTTTAAAAACCAAAGCAGCTCAGTCCCAGTCTCCAATAAGGATCTGCTGTGTGACCTTGAGCAAGTACCCTAACCTCTCTGAGTCTTAGTTTCTTCATTTATAAGGAGTAATATTCACAGACTCTCCCTTGCAGGCAAAGTGTGTAAACCAGTCAGCATCAAGGCAGCATCGGGTAAGCTAACTACTGTGACTGGCACCTGAGCCTCAGTTTGCCCACCTGTGAAATGGAGATATCAGGCCCCATCCTCCCACGTCGACGGTCTGGGAGGCTCAAACCTGCCTCAGGTAGCTGCGAGCTGGCTCTGCCAAGGACCAGGCACTGCTCCCACGTGAGAGGCCCCACAGCTTCCCAGATCAGACCAGTCTGGCAAGGACACCAACCCAAGCCCGGCGTCGGAAGGAACAGCGGCGTTAATCTACCTGGTTGAGCAGATTTACTGCATCCAGCACCTTCCCTGTGGCCTGGTCCCCATCAGACGGTTGGGAAGAAGGGAAGGAAGGGATCACACACATTCCTGCCCGACCCTCACCTTCCCACATGTGGCCAGAGGAGACAGCACTGGACCAGGAGTCCCCGAGTTCACCTCCCAACTGCTGTTCACTAGCTGCCTGACCTTAGGCTACTGACCTCACCTCTATGAGCCCCAAGATCCTCTTTTTGGAGCCTAATCCTTGCGCCAGCCCAGCTGGCATGTAGACTGGGAGTGTGGCAGCTTTGGAACCTGGGAAGTTGGGCCAGTTTGGGTGATTATTTCACTTGGGCTGTTGGGACTGGTCAGAGAAGCACTGTGGGGATCGCGAGGAGCAGGGGCAGCCAGGCATGGCCCAGGCAGTCCATCTGAGCCCTGAGTGCATGGTCAGTGGGGAGAGGGCAGGGTGAGGCCAGGGCAGGTCATGTGAGGAGGACAGGGAGGTGTCCTCAGCCCCATGGTGGGGAGTGGAGCTGGAGTACCCAGGGCAAGGGGGCAGAGGTCAGCTCTGCCCAGCAGGGCCTCTGGAGAGGCCCCCCAGAGAAGCTGCTGGAATCTGGGTGGGAGGAAGGGGCAGTTCAGGGAGCAACCCAGAGAGTTTCCAGCTCCTGGAGACTCAGGTGCCGGGGCAGGGGCCTCAGGGCAGTCAGCCTTCCCACCCCAGGGGCTTCCTCAGACCCACAGCCACACAGTACCCAGGATTTTAAGACCTAGAGCCATTTGGCATGAAGATCCCGGGAATGGGGTCTCCAGGCCTGCCACTGTGAGGACCCCAACCCAGCCAAACCCCAATGGGAGACGGGCTCATCCTTAAGCTCTCCACCTCCCCTGACACCCAGCCCAGCCACAGGCTAAACTCAGAAAGTCCCTCACTCCCCAGTGCAGGGGTGGGGGTGGGGGGGCTAAACAATAATGACCCTAAGCAATAACGGTGGAAGGACGTGCAGGGTGGTCCCTGGGTGAGGAATGAGACCTGAACATCTCAAATCTGGGTGGCCCATCTTGCACTAAGCATCCCCAGATCCGTCTCTTCCTCTAACACCAGCCCCCAACGCCACCAGCCCCGACTCCTCAGGGAAAGGAGTGGCTGAGCATTGTGATGTGAGGACCAGCTCCTGATCCAGCCCACCCTCCAGTCAGGGCGCCGCCCTGCCACCGGGGACTCCATCACCTCCAGCCCTCCTTGCCGGGACAGGGACTCCATCACCTCCAGCCCTCCTTCCGGGGACGGGACTCCATCACCTCCAGCCCTCCTTCCCGGGACGGGGACTCCATCACCTCCAGCCCTCCTTCC